GAGGAAAGATGATCGATTTACAGAAAGAAATAGCAGAGAGATGCTGTGCAGGTTGGATTACAGCAGAAAAGGAAGGCTTGGTTGCCCAAGGAAAATACAACAGAACGTCATTTACAGTATTTGGCTACTATGAACCTTATAGAAATCCATATTCAAAAGAAAACTGAATTCAGATTAAAGAATCTGTTGTGAAGCGGCCCTTGTTGTAAAATGCTAGTTGATTTCCAGAAGTTGCAACATCTGATCTGTTGATGGAGGACAAGAAAGGATTAATTCCCCATCCTCTTCTTTAAGAATAATGGGTGGAAATTCCAGTAGATAAGTCAGCAAGGATAAACCATCCTTTGATTCAAGCAATATGGGTATTATTAAACAACTAAATGGATGGTAAATGAATGTTCCCTTAAAATCTAAAGGCTTTTTCTAGATCCTAGTTTACTCTAGCATCTGGAACATTTTTGTACTTCGGAGCAACTTGCACACTAAAACATCTGAAGGACCACAAGTTGCCCATTCCTGCTAACCAATGGAAACACCCCAATCCAGTCATCATCTTCCACCATCCAGAGTTTTTATGCTCTTACCTTCTTAACCACCATATTGCACAGTGTAAGGGAAGCCCTCCTTTACAAAGTACTCTAGTTCAACGGGAAACACTGTTTTGGAAGATCCAAACAGCCATTCCCAATGGATTTGTTCAACAAACAACAGAATATAGCCTATGATCATCTAAATTATACCTCTCCACAAGTAGGAGCAAACAAGACTAATCATGCCAGATGGGCTTGTATGGTAAATCTAGTTTAAAAACAAACTACAGGTAACCAAATAAATAGATTGTCAAGGACATTGGAAAATAAGGTGAAAAACCTCTAGCCTGAGAGGAAAATATGAAACATAATGGCAAACAGAAGAATGTAAAAGCAAAACCTGTTTGCTGGCCAATCCATCTGCTCAGTATTGCACTTGCAGTTGTAATGAACTCCTACAGCTTTTAAGAGAGCTATAAGTTACCATATTAAAATTAAATATAATCTCTTGCTGTCTTGCATATACGTATTAAAACTAAACAAGCCTAGTAGTCCCCTTGATGTTTTTAGAAAAGTTTTCACATTATTTCAGTACTTTGAGAGCCAAAAACTATCCTTTTAATTATTTTTCATCCATTTACATTTGAAAAGTCACACACAGTTGTTCTGGAGTACAATTATAATTGCCAAGCAATCCCAAAAGTGCAGTCCGGTCCCAATCAAAAGTATTCCTTAACCTTGCAGTCAGGTACTGCAAGTACTACAATTAGTACTGGCTAATTCCTTATTCCCACCCCCCACCATGTGTGCAAATTAAAAATGTTGCATTTTTAATTTGCTTTCCAGGGGATGAGTGTCAATCAATACATCCCATGCATCCTTCAGAACCACTATCAACACTGCGGGAAATAGTCCCAGTCTTTCTTCCCGGATGCTTTCTGTTCTTTTGGCAGATGTTACTGCAACTCAGAAACATGAAAGAAGCTGCTTTCAAATTTGTGGGCAAATCTCTATAAAGCAGAGAAGCGCCGCAGGGAATAGCCTGCACCTCTGTACTCCTCCACACTGCTGAAATTTGGCAGTGTAAAGGCCAAAAAAGTAAAAAAATAATAGATGTATTAGCAGTTTCCTACTTTTTAAATTTATTTTGTTTAAATAAATATAATGCCATTGATTTGTATATATCCACATCAACAAATACCTATAAAACTTTCTAGTAATTATATATAAGCTTCAACATTTAGCTGAAAACCACTACAGAGAATCAAAAATGTCAAATTTAGCTTGTTTTCAAACTAAACATGCCTCTTGAGACTGTTGCAGTTTATGGATGATTTGAGATGGCCAACCACTGATTTTCTGGCCACTGTGGTGGTAAAATGAGTCCTGGAGACATCTCTGGGTTGGAAATTGACCCCCACAGATCACCCAAAGTTGCTCAACCCTGCTTTACAGAAACATGATCAGGACTGAGAAAACCTCCACAGATCTTATGCCAACAATGACAGTGTATAAATCAGCTTTCCTCAATCTGCCACCCTTCAGATGTGTTGGACTACAATTCTCATCACACCAGGCTTTGGCCATGCTGGCTGGGAATGATGAGCATGGTAGTCAGGCAAATCTACAGGGTGCTGAGTTGGAGAAGGCTGACAGAAATGGCCAAGGCTCAAATCTGAGACCCCACTGGGATTGCATGAATAGGCCTGATTCCTTGTTGGCTGAGAGTCCAGTCAACTCAAGCAGCAATAAAGTGGCCCAAGGTCTAACAGACCAGCCCAAGGATTTGAGGGGAATGGAGACTGCAGAGCAGTAAGGGGAGAAGCAGCAATAGGAATAGGCCAGTGTAGAAGAACATGACATGAAGGAGTGAGACAGAGATCAAATGTGGTGGGGAGCTTATTATATTTGAGCGGGGGAACAACATAGTTTTATTAATTCTTGGACACACTGCCCTAAGGGAAATTGTTCATGAGGAAGGTACAATGTCTCATTTCTAGTTTAAAACAAAGGAAACCAATATATAAAACAGCAAACAATAGCACAGTACAGAGTCAACTATTTTGCATTGTTGTCCAGCAAACAGTGAACACAAACAACAAATAAAATGCACACTGAACAGCTAGTTTGCTTTTAACGGTTTTAGCGGTTTATTGACACCGCTAAAGAGAGTTTGCTTTGCTAGCAAGCTGTACATGTGTCAGATTGGACAAATCAAAAACTGGGGCCAGAGTTTATTTTGAACATAATTCATTAAAATAATGGAAGCTCCAGCTTATTTTCAAGTTAATTCAGCAGAATAACCACACTTACTGCAAAAATGTATCTACAGAACTTTGTGTTTATGTGTTAAATAAGACATCAGAGCTGTAAGGCATACAAATTTGGGAGGAGGGGATTATATAACATGCTTTTTGAAGACTGCTGCAGCACATTTCCATGTCAATGAAAGAGATGGCTAGAACTATAGCAACTGAATTGATCTGCCTGGCTTTCATTCTCCAGTCCAATCTTATTCACCAGCTAAAAATGAGGCAGAACTCCCCTGGGAAAGAAGAGGATAAGAGGGAGAAAAGACTGGACACAACGCATACTAATATCTCAATTGAACAACTTCTGTTTTCTTTGTCGCTTATCTATGATTTCCTCCAAAAGATCTGTTCATTCCTTTAAAAAAATCTATAAAATGAACAGTACTATTTCAAACTGGACGGCAAAATATTACTATTAAACTTTAGCCAATCACAATGTAACCCTGATAAAGAATCAAGACATAATGAGGCATAATTCAAATTAAATAAGCCTTGCAAGTCTCTTGCAGTTCCGAAATCTGCTGATTTGCAGTAGAAAGAGCTTGCCACCATCTCATTTTCAAAGAAAGCACCATTTTTCTCTTGCTTCTTCTTCATTAGATACATAGCACCAAAGCCCATCTATATACAACTGGTAAGTGATAATGGTTAACCACTATTACTATTTTTTCCAGAATACAAATAAAATGCAAGCATGTTCACCAAACTACCTTTTAATTTCCAAACTTTCAAGAGAATAAGGTGCTCAGATTTACCCAGCTGCAAACAATTGCAATTGACATCATGAGAAACCCACACTTATGTATATTTATTTATTTATAACATTTTTATGCCGCGCCCATCGCAGAAAGCCTCGGGGCGGCTTTGGTCATTGATTGTATTCCATAGATTCAAAGCATAGTACTTTGGTGAAGGTTTTAACTACAGTGGGGTATCTGGAAAGTGATCGTGGCAACAGCAAGTAACCTTATGCAATTCATAGGCAGCAAAGGCAAGAATATTAATCAATGAGGTAGCCCATTTGCACAAGTGGTGCACAAATCATTTTTGTGTACCTAGCTTGTAATTCTCATGCAAAGGCAGTTTTCATTTTTGAGACCGTAATTCAAAGGTACACAGCTGCGGGTCTTTTCACACATGATATTCCCATGTATCTTTAATGCGAAAGAAGCAGTGTGCATATTTTTCCCCACAACCTACTCCACCTTAGCATGCACACACAGTGTGCAAGAGGCTTGAATGCAATTTCAGGGTAACACAGGTCATACTGGAGAGAACTTGCATAGAATTAAATCTCTTTCTCTTCCTTTAATATTACTGCATATTATCAACCATCATAAATGATGTATTTCAGGTCAGAAGGCATGTGTGCTGCTTCACTCCAATGCATATTTCTCCAGAATTAGTCTCACTGAGTTTAAGGGGGACCCCAAGCAATCATGCCTAGGACTGCTGCCTGATCCCTTGCCTGCCTATGCAGACATACACCCCACAGAATGCAAAAGGACTTACTTATGTACAGAAGACCAGTCTCACACCACAATCCTATACAGGTCTACACAGATGTATGCCCCGCGTCATTCAATGAGACTTACTCACTCCCGGATAATTGCGGATAGGTTTGCAACCTAAGGCTACAATCCAATGCACGCTTCACAGACAAAAGCATAAGCTTTATTTCTCATAACCATGCAGAGGAACATGTTCGCGTCACTTGTGAAAATGCCCATTCGGTCTTGTGGTATTCCGGGGGGGGGGGATCGACTCCGTCTATTCGCGTCTCATAAAGAGGTCAGCTGAGTAGCAAACACGGGAAATATATAAAGCAACCGGAGAAGTGATATGCTGAAACCATTTTTCTGCAACCTCAATGCAACTGAAAGCAAAACGTGTATCTAGAAATAAGCAAAAATAAGAGCATCCCACTATCACCTTCCTTTTTACATTACACACATACAGCCAAGTGTATGTGTGTAATGTAACACACATTACACTTGTGTGTTACATTACACTACTCAGAAGTAAGAACGATTTCGTTCGATGGGACTTACTCGCAGGCAAGAGTGCCTACATTTGCAGCCTTGACCAATCGTTCTCCAGCCGCACCGTTCTGAACCGGCGTTGGTCCTGTGCAGCGGAACCGCTGCTAGCTTCTTACCTCTCCGGGCATGGCTTCTGGTGTGTCTCTTCTTCCTCCTCGTCCATGACTGGACTGTTATTTCTCCTTTTTCCTGGTTCTGGCTGCCGCTGCCACCGCCGCCGCCGCTGCCGGTGCTCTCTCTGAGTGCAGCCGCGGAACTGCAGCTGCGGTCCCTTCGGAGCTGTCCACCTGCAAGCGACCGAGGACAGAGCCAAGAGCTCGAGGCAGCAGCTCCACAGAGCTCTGCACGTCACCATGGGGCGCCAGGCTCCTGGACCTGGGCAGATCCGCCCGCAGCGCAATCTCGGCCCCGCCCCATTTCTCCGCCCGGCCCTGTTTCCCGGGACGCGGAGCTCGCCATCGCCCTCTACCTTGTTGAGCAGAAATGGCCGGCCGGGTTTTCCCTCCCGCAGGAAGCTGCCTTACAAAGAGTCATACCATCGCCCCATGTATCCCGCTGTTATCAACAGGGCCTGGCAGCAGCTCCCCAGGGCTTCAAAGGAGGAGCCTTTTCCGCCACTCTCGCTAGAATTCACCCCCCAGGTTCACAGAAGTTGCTGGCGAACTTGGCAGAAGCACGAGAAACAGCGACTTCTACTATCAAATACAGCTTGGCTAATTCAGACCACCATCACCATCGAGGGATGTGACAAGACAAGGGGATATTTGGATTCCCAAAGCAGAGACATGGGCATCCGAGCTCCAGATCACCCCGCGCCCTCCCCCGCTTCCCAGCCTCCTCTTAGCCAGCTCAGGAAGAATCCAAGGTCAGCAAAGCAACGTCGGAAAGGCGTAAAAGGGGCGAGAAGCGAGAGGAAGAAACCTGGGCCGCCAGGACATGAACTGCCTTACAGCCACTCCAGCTTCCTTTCCTTCTGCCGCCTCTCTCTGAGATGCCCCGACTAGCGACTAGCTACATTGGCTTGCCTCCTCCCCGCTGTTCATAGGAATACTACCTGCAACTCTCACGATATCCGAATACCTCATATAGATGCAAGAAAATAAATTTGCATGGACATTTCAAGTATGATCTACAGTTTAACCTCATTTTTTCCCATCATGGTAATAGGCTTTCAGCTCAGGTCCCCCTCAACGATCAAGACGCAATTAAGTGCACATGGTTCTGCCCCCTGAAGCCCACCATTCCCGTGCCTTGTTGATAACTGGTAGCAAATGTGTTGAATCAGTGCCACTGAAAATTCAGCATAGTTTCCAGATAGGAGTGGTTACAGGCACTTTCTCCATGCTGTTTGATCTGCGAGATCTTGTTTATTCATACAAGTCACAACTTGATGCTACAGTCATCGTTATAAATCTGCCTGTGCAAGCCAACCCACAACTACTGAAAGAACATTTTCCTGACAAGGAGATTATGGAAATCTCTCTCTCTCTCTGCTACACAGGTGCTGGTAGCACATGATACCTGCCAAAAAAAAAAAAAAAAAGGAGTCAAAACCACTGAACAGTATCTTGGGGTCTACAACCGAGATGACTTCATGTCTGGTTGGATTTATTTCTGTCTAAACATGCATAATATTAATGCTTAATTGCTCCTTTAAACACCTGGTTTTACCTGTGATATTTTAGGATCATATTGGCCCATGGAGACCATTGTGCTTCACATAATGGGATTCAGCTTTGAGCATGCCACCGCAAAGATGTTTGTGATAGTAGGTTAATCGATGCTGAACACTGATGTGGTGATGTTGATGTGCAACAATCATGCTTAGTGCTGGAAATGCGTGGCATCTACACTGTATGACAAATATTACTATGTGCTGTGATAATTCAGTAACAGATTGCTTACTCAGTATAACCACCTGCCATGTACAGCCTCCCTTATCATAGAAACCTGTTCATAAAAGATAAACTTTAGCTCAATGGAGTTTTTGGGTTGTATCCAATATTAGTCCTACCTTGGAGCAGACCCATTGAAATAAATAGGGTTTGTTAGAATGACATGGGATACAGCCCTATGCATTTGAAATATCAGCTTTGGACACAAGTTCCTGCTTCCATACCAATCACCAGGATATAGAATATGCTTTCTTTGAGATTTTTATTACTACATTAATTATGAAGGATTATGTGACACCCATTAATTGCATTAATTAAACATAATCAGCATGTCCAGTACACAATCCTAAGTATCTAGAATTTATGGGTGACTTGATATAATCTTAATCATATATATACACACCCACACACTCTTTAACATGTAAAGGCTAGAAAAAATAGTAAAACTCCCCATTGTGATACACAGGTCTTATAATTTCCAAAGGTTTCTTTTTCTTAATTGACAGGTTTAGTGATGGGGTTATATTTTGTAAAAAATAATAATACAAGTCAAAATACAACAATTGGTATAACAAAGAAGAAAAAGAGAGGGAAAGATTAAAGTCCAAATATATTAATGTCGAGCATTAAAGTTTTGTCACTATTAGAATTATGCAGTATTAATAATATGCAATCAGGAAGCTTTTGCGAAAGTAATTGTGCATGCATTATTAACCCATCCTCAATTTGTTTTAGGAAGAATCAGAATGGAATGTTTATTTGCACTCATACAAACTTCACTAATTAAATGGCAAATTTATTGAAACTTGGGTCATGTCTGTATGCTGCTTTGTTCCTCTATAAAAAACATGGTTTCAAAATAAAGATACTGCTAAATTAAAACAATGCAGGATATACCATTAGTGTTTGTTTGTGTTTAAATATTAGTATGTTGCATTTTTTTAGAAAAGTAGACCAAAATTGTACATTTAATGAAATAGTATGGTCCTCAAGGACATTAACTCTGACTTTCTTTTTTCTTCTGTAACATAATACCAAGAGTCTAATTTAAAATGAAAGTCAGGATGATCTCTGTTCTAATCTTGTCAGAGCTATTGACACGATGTATGACCTTGGGCAATATATTGAACACCTTGGGCATAACGCATCCTGCGTGCTACTCAGCTGATTATAGTGGAGTTAGTCCAGGAATGAATTTGTTCTCTTTCTCCTTAGTACAGGTGGGCATTAAATAAAAGGCAGTAATCTCAAAAGAAAAGGAGAAGCTGCAGCTCTTTGATTAATTCCATTTCAAAGAAATTAGGCTCACTGGCACCTTACACTGTGCTCTTTTCAGCACCAGTTAAAGAGCTTCTTGTTTTCTCAAGCATTTGGGTCTTTCAGTTTCTGTTGTTTTATAACTATTATGGTATTTTATTTATTATTTATTTATTTATTAAAACATTTTATGCCGCCCCATTCGCCGAAGCTTAAAGCTTTGCACTGCTGCTAGATTTGTTTGTTGTTGTTATTTTATTTCATTCTGTGCTTTAAAACATTTAAATGCTTGCATATTATTTTATCATGTTGTATTTTATGGTTTTAATTGTTGTGAACCATGTGGAAGATTTTGGCTGTTGGGTAGAATAGAAATACAGTAAGTGAATATATAAATAAAATATAAGGATCACATAATTACTTTAACACATATAAACATTAAAACAAATTTATTTTCCAAATAAGGTTTCATAAGTGTAATTTTGTAACTGCTCTTGGTTATTTCTCTTGGGCTACAACTCTCAGAATCCCCAGCTATTATGAGGTCTGGAGACTGACAAACACATCTGAGGAAGACTAATTTATCAGGTCATCACATTTACTTGTTTATTGATGTTCTCAAGGAACTTGGTTAGTGAGACCAAATGTAGCTTTGCTGATGCCAGGTTGATACTTTTTCAGCAGGATGAGATCTTCTATATGCTTGATCTTTTCATATTTAATAACACTTGTCATTAATTTACTTGGCACAGGAATTCAGCTAAGTGGCCTTTATTTTTCTGGATCCCCTCCCCACTTTTAAAAATTGGCATTACATTGGCCAAGAGCACTGTGGTAATTACTTCAAAATAGTACACCAATGCCCACATTAGTAATCTCTCCAAAAGGCCTTCTGAGGACAAATGTCTGCTTAGCAGCTTGGTGATTACCTCTTTGGAATACCCCAGACCAGAAGAAAATGTATGGCCAGAGTCTCAGAACATCTTACTCTTCGTTCAGTGTACATAGGACAGAACTGCAGTCTTCATGGTAAGTACACTTTGCAGGACACAAGACGTGAGAAGGTAAAAATGGATGAATATGGAAGTAGGGGACAAAACCAGTAATACCTGCAAAATTCAAAGCAATTGTCTCTCCTGCTTCAGAACATCACTATACAACTACTATACAGAACTTTGACAGTAACAAAACAAAGCTTCAGGCCTATTAAGGTATATTGTAACCTCACAGAGGCCATTTGAAGTACGAGCATTACCAAACACCAATTATATATACTGAGCATTTCATCATGTTATTTTACCATTCTAGAAGTGCATTTTGGGCAAATCACACATGACTTACATTTTTATTCTAAAGAAGGTGGGGAGTTCCTGATCTAGGCTGAACCACTATCCTGAGGATTAGAAGGACTGAGTCCAGATCGAGAACTCCACACTTGAAATTTCTATTGCAAAACAGCACTAGTTTGCAACAGAGATTGCAGATATGGGAGAGTGATTCAGCTTGGACTCATACTGTGTATGTGAGGAAAGGCTTGGAGGGTCCAGTTCTAAATAGAGTACTTTAGAGTAAACATTAAACATCTGTTTTTGCCCTAATTGTGCTTTCAGATGGAAGGCTCCTAGCACTGGCAATCAGAAGACAACATGAAACTGTTCTTGTTCTCCTTTCTTGCGTTAAGGAAAATTATGAAGGAAAATGGAAGGAGGATTATGAGTAGAAGCCTTAACCTAGACCAAGGGTCCTGGAACTTTTCCACCAGGGGGCCACTTGAAAGCTGCCGTGCTGGGTGGGGGCCAGAGAGGTGGTGCTGGCAGTGCACGTGGGCCAGTGCGGGGGCGGTGTGTGTGGGGGCGCACGCTGAGGCAGGGGCGGGGCACGAGACAAGGCGAGGTGAGGTGAGGCACAGGTGGGCGCATGCGCCCGGCGAGGGGAGGCCAGGCATGGGCGCACGGGCCGCGAGGCAGGCACACGAGGCAGCGGGTTGCTTGCTTGGAGATCGTTTTCTCCAAGTGAGCAAACCACTGCCTTCCTGCACGCGGGGCAAGGTGGACAGTGGTGGGCATGCACATACAGAGGGTCCAAATGGGCATGGTGGGCCAGATCCGACCCCCAGGCCATAGTTTGAGGACCCATGATCTAGACCCTCTGTAGAATTCCATGAATGAGGCAAGCCAACGGTACCATAAAAATCCCGTCCAGA